TATTGCTCTATATGATATGCTTATTACTCTTGTCATTACATTTTTTTATACTTATTACTTCAGTATATATTTTATTATAAATTTCTCAACTTAAATCTTTTGATCTCATTGATTAGAAATCCTAGCTACTTCCCTAGTGGTAATATAGGCAAATACAAGGATACATTTTGAAATTATGCAGAAATTTATTATAAAATAATGAAATAGTCATAAATTCTCAAAATTTTCTATAAATATTGTAACAAAACGTTTTCGACATAATTAAGCTAAATTTTTTTATTTATTTAAAATATTGGTTTAACCATTTTTATCTTTCCTCCTTTCCCACAATGAAAAGAAAAGTTTACTGTTGCATAGGAACAACTTTAAATGGATTTCTTTTTACCAATAATGCTACAGACACTGAAAGTTTACACCGAAATTTTGTACCGAACGACGTGTCACTGAGTCAGATGCAATCATGTAGCACATTAACAACTATTCCGCAAATGAACGACCGTCTATTAAATATGGACGAGTGTCCATGATTATTGGACGATCGTTCATTTTAAATGGACTCCCGTCCATGCGAAAATAACAATGGACTCTAGTCCATATTATATGGACGGGAGTCCATTTACTATGGACGGGTGTCCACCTAGAATGGACGCCCGTCCATAGTTTAAATTAAAAAAATTTTAAAACAAAAATCATGGACGAGTGTTCCTATTAGATGGATGCCCGTCCATTGACACTTGAGGAAGAGAAATGGGTTAATTATTCAGTTTATTCTATGTCGAACAAAGAAAAAGAAAGAATTTTGAACTAGTAGGAGATAGTTTCACGTAGAAGAAGTAAGCTATGCTGTTAGAGTGGACACTTGAGATTCATGATTGAGGTAGTGAGGTACCAATTATTATGTATTATTGTAATTGCTCAAGTGTCAATGTACAGGCGTCCATCTAATAGGGACGCCCGTCCATTGAATATGAACATATGTCCATATATTATGGATAGATGTCCATGATTTTATTTTTAAAATTTTTTAAATTTAAACTATGGACGAACATCCATTCTAGGTGGAAGCGCGTTCATATAATGTAGACGAGAGTCCATTGTTATTTTCGTATGAACGGGAGTCCATTTAAAATGAACGGCTCCATATTTGATGGACGGCCGTTCATTCGCGGAATAATTATTAATATGCTACGTGGTTGTGTCTGACTCAGGTGACACATCGTTCGGTGCAAAATTTCGGTGTAAACTTTCAGTGTCCGTAGCATTATTGTTCTTTTTACCTCTTCTTTTCTTTACTGTAGTGGCTACTTGGACTTTATTTTGGAATGCATGAAGAGTCAAATATTTTGGCAATTCCTCGTGGAGTTATCTGATAATTATCCACCAGCTTATGCACACCTCAACTAATCCTTCAAGGACCTTGGAACTACCTTTTGAATAATAAGAGTTTTAGTAGCCACCTTTATTAACAACCGAGGAGGGACTCGAACTCAGGACCTCTTGAGTAATACACCTAAAAATTCCTATCAAACCACTCAATCACCCAGGGTTTGATTGCAAATTTGAGTATTGTTAAACAGAGGAGCCTATATATAGGCAATTTCAAGATAATAATCAAGTACAAATTCAGTCTATGAAAGGAAACAAGAATATTTTAGTTGTATATATTTAAAATTAATACCAAATAGTATATAGTTAGCATGTTTGTGTATAAATCATAGAATAATATTACACTTATGAATACTTTATGCAAAATGACTTGTCAAAATATGATTGGATGAATTAATATAAAAATCAACTTAATAGATGCATATTAAATGATAATGAATGATAAGTCAATGCAAGAATACTATCGTGTCACTTCGTATAAATTATTTTGTATAGAGTCTTTGTAAGTATAATATTACTCTAAATCATTGGTGTATATTATTATATATTTATTAAAAGATTCGATAATTTAAAGCTGCAGGAGGCCAGGGACAACTTAGCCAGAAACATTAAGAGATTTGCTCAATAGATGGTGAAATTATATTCAATGGGGGGCAATAAACCTATTTCCCCCTCACCCCTTTTGATTATACTAACCCTAATTTGTTTATTAAATAGTTGTTGCACTTTCACCTTCTTATTCAGTTATTCTTATTCTGGTAAAAGTTATTTGACCATTTCGTGTTTGCTTCCTTTCCAATCCCATCATAAAAGAAAAAGAAAAAAAAAAAAAAAAAGTGAACTGCTATAACAAGAGGATCCGATTTCCTTTTAACCTCCTTTTCTTTACTGTTTTGGCTGCTTGTTCTATTCTGTCTTTTAGTTTACGACTAACATATTACTTGAAGGCAATATTTACAAATTCCTACATGACTTAAACCTTGGAAGCTTTTCTCCAGATTAAGCTAGCAAATATGAAAATTGTTTATCAACAAATCTGAAGAGGAGATGAGTATGATTAGTGGTTTATATGAGTAGCCCAGCGGTAAGGGCAAACCGTTGCAAATGGTCCAATCCATAGTCCCAAGTTTGATTCTCCAACTGGCGCAAAGGTACCCATGCATGACTTACCTAGCAGGTCATGGCAGTGGGGTTGCTGTGGGATAACTCTCTCTAATGATTAATTGAAGTGCGCGTAAACTGACAACTCTTTCTCTAAGAGAATAGCTTTATACTAAGATACATTCAAACTTTAAAGAAAAATTGTCAAATAACTACATTTTTGAAGGTGTTAAGGTAAAATAACTAGCTTTGAAATCCCTTTCCATATTAACCATTTAACTTTTACAGTGGTTTGTATTACCCCTATATAGTTTATCCTCTGAATCCCCTTCTTTCTTTTTTCACTACTAATTTATACTCTCATTTCTCCAACACATAGAATTATAGTCATAAGAGAAAGAGTTCATCATCTAAGGTTTCAAGTTAGATATCTAAAATATTGTTATGAAATTAATTGTATTATGTTTAAACCATAATACAATTAATTTCATAACAATTTAAACCATAATACAATTAATTCATATTAAAAGTCGACGCAACGTTGACTTGATTTAAGTTTTAGTTGACTTTAGCTTAGGTTAGATTTAATCAAAGTCATGAGAATTTATATTATAATCTTTGGAAGCCAAAAACAAAAGAAAATTAAAAGAAGTTTTGCTCAATGTTTACTCAACACATTTACTCAAAATTTTGCTTCTCATAGATTTATTCAAGCAGGAAAGTATTGTGTTATTGCATTCTTTTCTCTCAGGTTCTTGATATTGTATTATTATTATTATTATTATTTTACTTAAGGTTTTGTATTTTTTAAAGTTTTCGCTAGTTGTTTGACAAACAATGGTGGAGCCGCGAAGGCCTTTGCTTGACAAAAATCCTGGATCTTCCACTGGAAGTATGTAAGTTGGCTCAAAGGGGGAGAGAAAGAGAAAAGGAGAAGAAAGAAGAAAGGGAAGAAGAAGGAAAGAGAAGAAGAAAGGAGAAAGAGAAGTGTCGGCGGATGAAGAAGAAGAAGTTGGGTTTCTAGAATTGAAATAATTTATATGCAAAATTGTAAATTATTGTACCCTCTCATAATTGAAAAACTTACACCTATGTTCTTTTGAGCTTGTGGAGGCTCGCAAGCCTCTCGAGCCAAGTACTGGGTGGCTTGAGCTTGCCTCGAATGGGCACCTGAGTCACTTGAGCTTGAGCTCAGCTTGGCTAGGCTACACCCCTAGTTATTTATAAACAACGATGAAACAAAAAGTCGATGAATGAAAATTTCATAAATATAGACAGAAATGGAAACTGTCAAAAGAAAAAATAAGTAAAATTAAAAGGAGCTTTGTGGAAAAAGAGATGATAATCATAAAAGGACCCATTTGCTGAAAGATAAAAAGATACTACTACTACTTGAAAGAAAGTAAATCAAATCTTCACCCCACATAATCGCATTTATTATCATACAAGATCTCCAAAGTAACATGTGATTTGCCTCCTCTTTCCCAACAATTTCACCCTTTATCAATCGATTTTCTGCCACCGTCTTCTGACGGAACCCAATATAACACCGTTAATTGAGTGATCAAACAACCGACGAGTCTCCGTCGTTGACCAATGGTCGGATTTTAATTATTTAGGCCATGTACAGAATACGCTTGCATATGCTAGCTAGGACATGGACATGTTGCATGTTCACTATTTCTCCAATTATTGACCTGCACGAGCCTAAATCAAATCAAAATATTATGAGTAATACTACGCTCATAACTTCTTCTCACAAACTTTTTCTGATAATCTCGACATGACAGCTCGTGATTGGTCAACTTGCAAATAGATCCCACATGTTTGTTATAGGTCCTACCTGCCAATTTGTTAACTAACCAATCGCGAATTGTCACATCAGGATTGTGAGACAAAGTCTGTGAAAAGAGGTTGTAAATATAGCATTTTTTAAATATTAAATTCTATTTTAGAGGCACAAAATGGCCTCTATTTAAAAAAAAAAAAAAAAAAAAAAACCCATTTAATAAAATTAAAAAAGCTTTTTATATACTAAAATATTGTGTAATACTTCAATTAATTGTTTGTTTCTGCTTTATTTTGTTAATTGGATGGAAGCTGGTGATATGTGCGGTCTGAGGAATAAGCTAAAGGCTTATTTGTTGGTGAGTGGACCTAAGTTGACAGGAGCCCAATGGTGCAGTGAATTTGTGAAGTGAAGTACGTTGGGTTGAAGAGGAAATCGATTATAAATAAGGGACAGAGCGATCAGTCAGATTCCCCCACCACCACTACCTCTCATTTCCCTCACTTTCCTCCTTCTTCTTCTTCTTCTATCCACTCTTTCTCAAAAGAGTGGAGAGAAGGAATTTTAATTTAATTCTTGGTTTTATACGTTTTGTTCCCTCCACCATCGCTGTCTTCTTCTTTCTTCTTTGTTTGACCCCTTCAATTTTGTTTGTTTAACCATTCTTATTCAACATTAATTCTTCATTTTACGTCCAACAAAACAAGTTGCAAGGAAACTTGTCATGGCTTTTTTCACTCACCATTACCATTCTTTTGCTCAGCTAGTCATCCCGAGCTTCATTCTTCTGTTCGTTTCAAAAGGTTAATATACAAAAAATGAAAGCTTTTATGTTAATTTTAGTACTATATATTCAATTGAACTTTAATTCATATCTTATAATTAAATTAACTTGCAGGTGTTGAAGCTAACAAATTCACATTCATCAACAAATGCGATTACACAGTGTGGCCAGGGATTCTGGGCGCTCCAAAACTAGACAGCACAGGCTTTGAACTCCCCAAAGGTACTTCTCGTTCTTTCCAAGCACCAACAGGTTGGTCAGGGCGTTTCTGGGGCAGAACTGGCTGTAATTTTGACGGCTCAGGCCATGGCACCTGTGCCACAGCCGACTGTGGCTCTGGCCAAGTAGAATGCAACGGAGCTGGAGCTACCCCACCGGCTACCTTAGCCGAGTTCACACTTGGCTCTGGCTCTCAAGACTTCTATGACGTGAGTCTTGTTGATGGTTATAACGTACCCATGATTGTTGAGGGGAATGGAGGATCAGGTGCATGCGCCGCCACTGGATGTGTTACAGACTTGAACCGAAGCTGTCCAAATGAACTGAGAACGGAGGGGGGAACCGCTTGTAGAAGTGCTTGTGAAGCGTTTGGAAACCCAGAATACTGTTGCAGCGGCGCGTATAATTCACCAGCCACCTGTAAACCCTCTATGTACTCAATTGTTTTCAAGACCGCGTGTCCCAAATCTTATAGCTATGCATATGATGATGCCACGAGTACCTTTACGTGTAGCGGTGCGGATTATACCATTACATTTTGTCCTACTTCTCCAAGGTATTTTGGGATGTTTCTATAAAGCGTTTAAGCCTTTACAGGTTCATTAGGTTCATGATTTGATATAAATTGGAAGCATATGATCTGTGAAGATGCAATTATAAAGACATTTATGTGGAACTGATTCTTTTGTACAGCTTAAAGTCAGCAAGTAATTCACCTCCAAAGGGAACAGGAACAACAGATGAACCAGAAACAGGATCAGGACCTGTTGAGGCAGCTTCATTTGCAAGTTCATGGTTGGCAAATTTGGCCATTGGAGACTCAACAAGAGTCCACCCCCCTTGTTCTTCTCTTCAATATGGTTTAGTTGTGGCCATTTCTCTCATTATCTCATCTCACATGTGATTTGGAGAGCAGAGGAAAAGCACCGACTTTGATTTTGCCTAGCTAGGGAAAAAAAAAAATGACAAAATCCAGATAGTAAACAACCCACTTCCAAATCCAGAATATTTTAATGTTAAATACTTTTATTATTAGCATTAATATGTAAAGCAAAGCAATGGTTTCTTTTTAGTAATAGAAGGTGTTTTATTTTTTCCATTTCACTTTGCTTTATGCTTTCATTTATATGGTTCTCTAGCATTCTAGTTAAAGCAAAAGATTCATTAAGAGAAAGTAATCTAAACAACCAACAGCACTTTGAGACTTGTGTCTTCTTTTCTTTATTTCTATGATTAGTTAAAAGAACAAAAGTGTATGCATAAGTTTGGTGGATTTATGGGTTGCTACGGCGTGCGGAAGAAGAAAGCAAAGATGAAATCTGGAATCGTAAGATGAATGTATAAAGGAAAAATATTGAAGTGAAATTTATTGTGTGAGATTTTTCCATCGTTGAATTTAGAAGCCAAGACCTGATTTTCTTTGCTTCTAAATTCCAACAGCTATAGACAGTTAATAGTTGAAACTTTATGAAGATATTTTAACTGTGAGTTAGAATTTTTTATATGATGTAAGGGCGCACTCTTGGATATTAAATTGACAAAACAATCATAACCAGATGAATGACACTTGAAAAAAGCATTTCATAAGATAAGATTATTAAGTGAAAGATTTGAGAAATGATGAAAAACAACATCATTATTTAAGTCAAATCATAATTCATATACCCTCCAACCATCCGTCCATCCCCCTCTAACAAGAGGATCATTTTCAGACCCAAATTATTTTTCTCATAGTTAGTGCAAAAACTACCATCAATATTTCTTCTGGTTCAAGTGAGTAGTATACAAGCAAACTGTGATTATCCCTTGGTATGCAAGGTTTGCGGTTGAAACTTGAATGGTGTGTTCGGTAAAGTCAGTACAGGAATTTGTCCTTTATTGTATTGCGATAAACGACAATACATAAACACAATAATTAAAAGATAGGTTGATTAAGAAGTGGTGGAATGTCACAGTAGAAGGATGATAGGACAATATGAGGTGGGTGGGTGGGTTCCAAATATTTGATATGATGGTAATGTTATTGAGATGGCAGAGCAGTGGGTCGGAGTCGGAGTCGGAGTCGGAGTATAGCTGTTGGTGATGGAAATAAAAGGTAAAGAAGCCAATAGAATTATGATCCGAGTATAGCCGTCTACAGGACTATGATGTTCAAGAAGGTGAAGGGTTGGAGGAGTTGATTCTTCAACTTGTGTGTGTGGGGTAACAACCGTGACTGCATAAGGAAGGAAACAAACCAACTTTTTCTACAAGATAAGAAGAAGACGGCTGCAGTCTATTCATTCCTTTGATGCTTCTCCTTTCAGCTTTCTCAAAACCTTACAGCGTCACAAAAGTTTTTACTCCAATAAGGAACAATTCTTAAAGGAAAACCGAATATGACTCAAAGCTTTTGTCAACAATGGTAGGGTAAGCTACAGAAAGCTGGTTTGAAAGAGGTTAATATTATTATTAGAGTAATACTACATCAACAAATTTCTCTTACAACGTAACTCACAATTGGTCAGTTTATAATTAATTAATAGGACTCATGCGAGACCCGTGTGGGATCTGTTGTGAACTGACTAATTACGAGCTACCACGTTAGGGTTGTAAGAGAGAGTTATTGGTGTAATATTGTTGGTGTAATTAAGTGTGGTACCCTTTTTTTTTAATGACCGGAGGCGTCCAAACTAGTTTACGCACAGTCTCTCAAGACTTTGGAACTATTAGCCGGGTAAGAGCCCCAGTAGCCAACCCTATTATCTGGGTCAAAGCTTTTGTCAACAGTGGTAGGGTAAGCTATAGAAAGTTGGTGCGAAAGAGGTTAACATTATTATTAAAGTAATATTATATCAACAACCTTCTCTCACAACCCTGATGTGGTAGCTCGCAATTGGTTAGCTTGCAATTAATTAGTGAGACTCATGCGGGACTTATGTGGTACTCGTTGTGAACTGACCAATTACGAGCTACCACGTCAGGGTTGTGAGAAAAAGTTTGTAAGAGAAGATTATTAGTATAGTATTGTCAGTGTAATTAAGTGTGGTACCTTTTTTTTTTTTTTTTTTTTATGATCGAAGGCGTCCAAACCAGTTTACGCACACCTCAACTAATCCCTAAAGACTTTGGAACTATTAGCCGGATAAAAACTCCAGTAGCCATCTCTATTATCTGGGTCATACTTATTTAATTATTCTAATATCTGGGCCATGATTTATTAGATTGATTCAGATTAAAGTATATAGTGCGAATCTAAATTAATTTAACAACGGTTTACCCTACTAACATGATTAACGGATAAGATGACAAATCTCTTTTGACTAAACAAATATATAATTGTGGAATGTGGATTGATTTGATTTAGCTAAATCATTTGATTAGGGAAATTTGTCCATGAAAGTTAGGCAATAGGCAGTTCATAGTGTGAAATAATCAATGAGATTAGCAGTGTTATTCACACGATTAGTTAACTAAAAACGTTTTTTTTATGGTACTGGACAAGTGTTTCATCAAGATATGCTACAACTTTCTTTTGTATCAAAGTTATCAAGCAGAAATACTTCCTCTAAAAGTACTTCAAATTTTCAAAACACAATTGGGACAAAAAAAATGTGTGTTTGGTTTACTATTTTCTACCATATTTTCAAAATAACTGTTTATTTCATTATTCAGAAAATATTATTATATTTTATTCAATACTTTTAGACTTCCTAAATTTGTTAATTTAACTAAACACCCTCCAAAAAAAGTTTAAAAATTAACAAAAACACCCCCACCCACCCACATTTACCAGATTCTGGCCACCACCGTCAGAAGGTGGTCAGAATCTGATGTAATGACATACTACCAGTTGGATCTTGCCGGTAGTGCATTGATTTATCATTTTTCGGCCAGATCCATCGTGGATCTGGCCAGAAAAGGCCAGATCTTTGGCCAGATATGACCGTAGATCTGGTCGTAAATCTAGTATTTTCTAGCCAGATCCACTACGGATATGGCTGGAAGGCTAGTCATGCGTCGATACAACGACTCCGACCACCCTACGACGGTAGTGGCCTGCTGCCGGTATTTAATGGGTGGGTGAGGGTGTTTTTGTAATTTTTAATGTTTTTATTACAAGGATGTTTAGAAATTAACAAATCTAGGGGGGTGTTTTTGTTAATTTTTAAATTCTATCTCATTATTCTCACCAAACTCTAAAAATATCAAAAATACTATCCAAAATACTAAAACAAACACACCCGAAGTAATAAGTCCAGCTTTTATTATAATCAAATACAGATTGCACACAAGATCCAGGAGGGTCCGGCTGTAACAAAATAAAAATCTGGGTTCTACTATGCTAATATTTGTTATTAGAGAATACCAGTCCTTAAATCGTGGCTAAGAGAAGTAACTTTACGTTAATGGTGAACAGAATCTAAGGATGGCCACTGGAGGTGGAGGATAACTTTACTTCCTGTTAAGTGTAATTGTGCCTGATAAAATATCTGTTCTCAAACTTTGTCAAAGATAACAATAATAATTAGATTATCGTTTAGGCATATTCTCATTTTTTAATGCTTTTGAAACACAGAGCATCGTTCCTTTTTGTTTTGAAGTTGCTTTTCCCCAAAAGATTGAGAGAGACAATTTTAGGTTATAAAATTACCAAGAATAAGTTCGAGGTGGGATACTCTGCTAATTACCTATAGGATTAGCCGAGGAATGCATAAATAGGCCCAAACACCTTGTTTAAAAAAAAAAAAAAAAAAGTCCGAGGCATGTTCGATTTTTCCATTGGCAAATTCATAAAACAACCAAGATATAACCATTGTTTTAAAACTCAGACCAAAGGGCAACTCGTTTTGCTGCCCGGGTCACGGATCAATCGGTTGGACCGATGACGTCAGCGATAATTTTATTTTTAAAACATTACATATTAATCCCTTAAATTTTAATATATTATAAAAATTCCCCTAAAAAAGTTCGAATTAGTCCCCAAAATTTTTATTTATTATCAATTAATCCTTAAACTTTTGACATATCTCTAAAACACCCCTACAAAATTACATTAACCCTTATAATTTTAAAATATTACAAAAATCCCCTAAGACCTGAATCGGACCAAAAAAGTTATCAAGTTTCAGTTCGACCAATCGATCCGGTCCAGTTTTTTAAAACAGAGGATATAACCACTGAGCTTGTGGTCAAATGACAAGACCTTAGTCATTTAAATAGATTACCCATAGATCTTATGATCGAGTTCTCACAATGACCACCAATCACATTAGTGATTTAACTGATTTATTGGATTTGTAAAGTATTTAATGAGTCTAAGGGATTAAACCCTGTTATTAAAAAATAAAAATAAAAAAATAACCAAGATATAGTTTGTCGTAACATGTTTTAAGTCTAATCCTAAATTTTTTCATCTTTAACGTGATATTATTTTATCATCTATTACATCATCCAATCATTTAAATGTTGTTGCTATATAAAAAAGGCACATTATTCTGATTTTTGCAATAGACCAATAGTATTTAAAAGCCAAAAAAATCGTCACACTGACCAATAAATAATAGTTTAAATGATCCACACATCAAACACAGCATCAAATAGCTTTTGACGTTATTCTACAGCATTCTTAAAGTGAAGGGTCTCTGATTACCCCATTGAAGGCTACACCTTAAAGCTTTACAATGCAAAGATAAGGATTCTTCCATCAAAAAGTTCCAGAGAACCCAACCATATTAACCCTAAAAACAAAACCACAATAAAATTGATCAATAAAAAACAACATCCACTTTGCAAACCATGAATCTGTAGGACCTACTACGGGACCCTTTTATGTAGAAATAGTGTCTTTACAATTGGATTTCCACCCACTCATGCCCTCCAATTCACTTAGGTCAACTAAATATGAAGTTTCCCTAAGAAGTGCTTCTAAGCCTGAACTATGAGCAGAAAATAATGAGGACTAGGTTCAAAGTGTTCATAGTGTAATTCTGACCAATAATGGGAAGCAATGATCTTTACTGTAGTTAGGCCAGGATTCATCTCCGTTTATGAACATCTGATGACACTTCCAAACTTCTTCGTTGTAATTCTCTGTTATGCTAAAACGCAACCCAGCTTCTTCAATTTCTTCTAAAAACTTAACCAGCGAGTCACCTCTTTTAGGGCTGAAAAAAATAGCTTCTGAGAGTCCCATATTTTTCAACAAGAGTTTTACTACTCGAGCAAGATCTTTATGGAATTCTTTAAAGAAAGTGCTGTCAAAATGACATGTCAAGAACATCAAAGTGGATAGATTTATCTAAGAAGTCAGAAAGTAACATTAGTGTTTGCTTACATGTGTATATGCATTCATGCATTGCATACTACATGCTCGTACATTTTGTCGATTAGTGTAGAAAATTAAGATATCTAAGAATCCCAAGGCCATTAAAAATTGTAATTGACAAACAAGCGTTACCCACTAAACACTTGACAACTCAATTATAGAAGTTAAATAAAATAAAAAGTGAGGTAATGAACAATAGCAGATGAAAAAAGAAGCTTATTAAAAAAACAAAAACAAAAAAAAGTTCATGTGCATCCGTTCACGCAACAAGCATTATGTAATAGGCAAGAAGCAATTTTTCAACAAGTGAAAAGAACTTAGACATATTGACGTCTCAATGTCATTAGAAATTAAATCAAAAACGTTACTTTACTTGCCTAATCACCCTCACAAGCTCAAATTGACAAAAGTGATTGATATAAAAGAATGAGGTATCATACGGGATGGATACAAGGATGTGGAATATTATGTATGCCTGAAGTTTGGACCCATATGACTAGCACCCCGCAACAAAAAGTCATCCAATCCCGTCATTATCCCAAGTAAAAAAAGATAATATCATTGGCCAATATAAAGCAGTTTGCACATAATTTACAGTAACTGAGGTAGATGATCACATAAGTTTGAATCCATATGTGAAGATTCTCTTTGCTTTATACAGAAATGAAAAAGGTGGAGAATGATGCATATTGCGATAAGATGGACAGCATATAAAAGAATAGTGATTACCAGTCACTTGCAACAATTACATCAAAAGAGTTGAATAAATCTGAAAGATCTTCCTGGTTCCAGTGCAGTGTCATAGACTTCACTCGTGTGCCACCAAATACTCCAGAATTAGAATCTATGTTAAGCTGAATATCTGGACGTTAAGGTGCACTCTAACACCAATCAAAATAAATAAGTAGTAAAAACAAAAAGGAGGGAGTTTCTTTTATAACAGCCAGTATAGAACAAGGAAACCATGAGCTTTCAGTGTGACCCAGGCAACCTACTATCAAAATTATGGCAGGGGGAAAATTATCAACCGAGAATTACTGAAAACTGGCACTTCCAGCAACATAATTAACGGAATAGCACAGGCTAAAAGCAAAATCAATGACAAGACTGGGTGATGATTCACCTACCAACTAATTACATCTCAAAATGAACACAAACTGGAAAACACTTGACAATGTCAGAATATCTAATGTCCTGAAATTTTTACAATTTCCAGCACTAAAACTTAATCCTTGGCTTGCCAAACAATCTTGTGTTAAGCAATTTAAAGCTCAAGAGTTACCTGAGGAATAATTACCATATAATAAAAATCTAGATTAGCATATATTATGTCATGAACAATTTCAAGTGTTTAGATTGACTTGCAAATGGGTTGCATACCATACTACATCCTGTTTCAGCTAATTAATAGGCCAATGCAGTCTAGGCCAACCCAAATTGTAGGTGTTCATAGCTTACTAGGATGCCCTTAGCTTTGCATCCCTCAGATCATTACTAAGGAAGACCCAATAGTAGTCCAACAAAACTAGGTATAGTTCTGTTCACAGAGTGTGGTTGATCTAACTTTTAAAGGCATCAAATCTAAAGTTTGAGGGACAAAATTCAAGCAAAATGCCTAAGAAATCTAAATTTGTTGTGAATCTAGAAGTCTCAGAAGGATGATCATTATTTGTAAACAAGTGGCTTCATTTTTCACTTTAAAGCCACATAATTTTCTCATTGGATAAGAATTACAAGAATTAAGTTTCACACAATTCATACCAATTTAGAAATACATCAATGAATTAGAAAAACAATTAGCAAAGGGAAAAAGGTTGAAAATTCACAGTGTAATGTGCTTCGGTGTTACAGGAAGTAAAACCTAAACCTAAATTAAAAATAGTAAAAGTTTGTTCCATGATGCGTCACACAGAAACCACTTTTCTGCATTGTTAGAATAAAGTCACCTATCTAAAATAGCCAAAAATTGCTTTACAGGAGTCCTCACATATCTTACTAAACTAGCCAAAAATTGTTGTTCAGGAGTCCTTACATATCTTACAAAATTATCCTACCACAATTTCAACCAAGGGTCCTCGATTAATTTCAAAATGCTGCCTCAAAACTTGTCTAAAGTTAAAAAATAATAATAATAACAATAAATAAATAAAATAATTAATATGCCGCCATAGCAATGTGTATCAACTAGAGCACATACAAACCAAGACTTCAACTTACTTTTCTTTGGTTACAACAAGCTCATTTTACTGCATATATGACGAGAAAAGAAATTGGCAACATATTCTCTAACTAATCTGAAATCAACTCCCACAAAAGCTAATGGCTTGCATGACCAATTAAAAGGATACAATCAACTACCTGAGGATTCCCATCAGATATGACAACTTCTAATGCCTCCGTGGTTGCTGCAATAACTAGTCCAGCTAAGCCATAGCCTGATCCAAGCTCAATAACTCTTTTAGACCTGTAGAATTAAAAAAGTAGACAAACAATGTCTTAATAAAGAAAAGTTCTAGACAACTTTAGCCGTTAAAATACACAGATAAGCAAAAGGTCCCAAAGAGAAAGTAAACCTGAACATTTCTGCATTTGACAAGCGGAAAAAGGCAAGAACATCTTCTGATGGCCATAGACCTGCAAAGGAAAGAAAATATGAAAATAATACACACAAACACCATGATTAACAAAGAGAATAACCCAGTATACCAGCATCAGCAGAAATACTAAACAAACTGAAAACTATAATCTATTAAATCTGATAGAATAATCAAACAGCAACGTGTTGTATTCCAAGACTGAAACTATACTACGATGAAGGAAACCCATGTCTCACTTTCTCTTAGACAATAAACTCAAATCTTGATAGCTCAGGCGAAGAGAACTTACATACAATTCCAGTATTATCAATATTATATCTATTACAAATCTCAAAATCACCAAGGTCAGCATGGTTGTCCACTCTTTGGCTGCGTAAAAATTCAATCCAGAGAAACCATCACAATCAAAGACATAAATTTAACTTTGAAAAATAACAACATTCTACAAAAACCAAAAGCAACATTCGTTTGTGAACAGACAAACATATAATTAAAAAAACATTCCGTGTTCGATTTCACATAATGAACTTACGTGAGAAAGAGTTTGGGAGAGCCAGCGACAGGAAGTGTGTAACATACGCGTGAATCTCCAGAGGTGGAATCTTTGTCGAGTAATTGGCGGGGGATTAAGTTGAATCCGTGTGTTGTTCTCCGTGAAATACGGTTAAGAATCTCATCTGAGAAGATTACCGATAATTTTAAACTGGATTAAGAGGAATAATCGTAATTCCTAATTAACCACATTGAAAGGTTGGTTTTTGATGATCGGAGAGTACCAGAATTTTGCGGAGTAGGACGACAAAGAAGGGCTTGCCGAAGGATTTTCCATCTCAACGACGATGGTTTTGGAGTCGTCTGGGTGTTATCAGCTTCCATAACTCTCCTTCAAAGTTCAAACTACCAGTTGAACCGAATCACTGTTGGCTGAAACTCATAATTTCAATGGGCTTTGTTACGCAGCGAGTAAGATTATTGAAACGGATAAAATTTAGCTGACCGACCATCCCAAGTTTTGATTTGAAAAAATGCCATTGAAACTGTTTACCAATTTTTTTTTATTTAGAAAAGCTGACGTGGATTCATTAAATATATAAAATAGGTTAAAATGAAAAGATTAAAACATATAAGAACAAAATCATAATTAATGAAAGTTTTTAAAATTTAAAATTTATAAAAGAGCCCTAAATATTCAAATCGCTTAATCGAAACCAATTAAGGCAAAAATCGATATCTTCAATCCCTAAACGCATCTGTGCAATTTTCGACAATAACAGTCCACATTCTGGTAAATTTTCACACCCAAATTCAATCCTAAAGCTTCTTCCTTTCTTAAAACTATGGCTGACATTAACAATGAGGAGGAAAACCCAACGCCTCTTCGAATCGTAGAGTCCGGCTGTGCAAGTAGTTCAATGGCTGCTCCGGTGGATCCTCCGATCAGTGAAGGTGTTCCAGCAGCAGAGACGACGGCGGCACAATAAGAGAGAGAACAGGAGAAAACGGTTCTGAAGAGGAGGAGGAGGTTGGGCAGAATTCAAGCCAGGAAGAGGAGTCCGGCGAGAGTTCAGAGGAGGAGGAGGAGGCCGCCAAAGAGGAGGACGCCGTCGAAGAAAAGGTATTTGTACTTGCGGAGACCTAAGATCACTTAAGCGATCCTTTGTATCACTTAAGCGATCCTTTGTATCGCTTAAGCGATTGATGGCTTTTACTCTTGGTCGCTTAAGCTATTTTGGATTACTTAAGAGTAAAAGCGATGAATCGCTTAAACAATATAAAAGATCGCTTAAGCGATCTTAGATCTGGCAGATGTTGATTCTGCCTCGTACAAGATCTCTTAAGCGATCTGTAATCGCTTAAGCGATCTCTTCCGAGGCAGAACCAAATCTGCCTTGATCTATAATCTCTTAAGCGATTTCAGATCGCTTAAGAGATCTTGTATGAGGCAGAATCATCTGCCCATCGCTTAAGCGATTCTTTCGGAGTGTATTTTGTTTATATTTGATTTGGTTGAATTTTTTTGCTGATATTTTGTTTATATCGATTGTGCAGATTTTCCGGAGCGTAAACTATAGAGAGTACGGATTGGAGGTTGTAAGTGATACGGTAACATACTTCCCTGTGAGGGTGATAGTGAGGTCAAGTTGGGATGTTTTAACGAGAATAACGGGGATTGTAGGGATAGTGAGGAATGGTGAAAGGAGATTCAAAGAGACTTGTTTCAGTCATTTTTGAGATATGGACACAAAATGGAAATATACATTCTGGGGGTCGGGAGTGCATTATATGTTGCTGCACTCAATAAAAAGCAACAAAAAGCACGAAATGTGGTTCATGGTGGATGGAAAGCCAGTACGTTTCGGGATGATGGAATATGCGTTGGTGACTGGCTTAAGATGTGGGGAATTGCCAGGTGAGGTTGAGGAAAAAAGAATAACGGACAGTACGGGAGCCAAAAGGTTGGCTAACAAGGTTTTGGCGGGGAAGAAGTCTATTAAGGCATAGGAATTAGAGGACAGGTTAAAAGATGGTGAGTTTAACGATTCAGAGACGTTCAAACTGTGCTTGGTATTGTTCTTACATTCGATCCTAATGGCTAGTGACTCAACAAAAGCCATTGATATTGATTGGGTGAAGTTTGTAAGCAACTTGAACTTCTTTAATGCTTATCCTTGGTGACGGGTATCATTTAAGCGAACCATAGAGTCCCTGCAAGCAAAAGACCTGGCATTAAAGCACTCCCAATGGGCCCAGAAGAATAGACCGGCAACGTACAATTTGTTTGGCTTCCCATGGGCAATGCAGGTAAATATTAATAGCTTTTTGTTATATTTTTTTTAATATATATGTTTGAATTATGATATAGACTATTTTTTTAAAATGTAGGCTTGGATGTATGAGGCCATCCCTATCCTGGCTAAGGCAGGAGGGAGGATTAGGGCTTCGGTTGTGCAACAGACATTTCCTAGGATGTTGTGGTGGCACGACCAGAAGTGTACCCATTCAGATTATGAGCAAATAGAGATTGAAACTCAATCAGCTCGGGTAAGATTAAAGGATTAAGCTTGAACATGCATTTGCTTTAAAATGTCGATTAAATCTGATTGATTTTGTTTCTTATTACAGGGGGTTGTCCGTCCCTTCCTCACCACTACTAGGGGTGAAGCGCAACAGCACTATGTCACATCTTTCCGAGCACTGGAGGATCAAAGGGATGAAGGGATAGACCGCCTGACACCGGACCTATAAGGGATCACACATGTGAGGGCAGTTGCAGGGCCACTGCTTGAGAATGTGGTTGACGTCGAGGAGGATGAAGGCGCAATCGGTGGGAAGGGGGAGGAGGGGAGGGAGGAAGAGGTTCGTATGCCTCAGCAAACTGGTACAACAAGTACCGCTTTGTCGAGGTGTCAGGGTCGAGAGAGTGAGGTGGTTGACCTCATAAAGAGTTTGTTTGATAAGATGGAAGAGCAGTTGAAAAGGGAATCTTTAATCCGCAATGCTTGATGTGAATTTGCTTCTTTTCTTTATATTATTATTGTAGGCTTTAATTTGTCGGACGGAGACGTGAACTTCTTGATGTGATGTTGTTTACTTTGTCGAAACATGGATTGTTTCTCGTGTCACCTTGACCGAAGATGTGCTGGAATTTAGCAAGAAAAATGTATTAGAATTTTTATGTCGAGCGCATATAAGGATTAAGATAGTCCTATAAAAATGTTCATTTGGTATCATATCGGTAGAGATTAACAGAGTTAGAGAGGGATTTGAGGTGAGAAAAATATTGTGGGTGTTATCTTAAGCTCGTATTTTTCAGAAATTCTGATGAGAATTCTTCAGGTTTTGATGTAACTTTCTTTTAGTGAATGATATTCAATGGCTTCTCCTTTCCAGAGGATGTAGGAATAAATAAATCTTGATTAAGTATATAGAAACCAAATAGAACTCCTTAACCTTAACGGTACATAAGACTCTTTCCTAGTTTTAATCTGATTAGAAATCCTTGTTATCATCTTTCTATATTGAAGTCTATAAATATTCCTCTTCATCATCTCATATTTCCATCTTTAATTTTCTCTCCATGAATGTATCATTGAAAATGGATATGATAGGAACAGATAGTGATCACTTGAAATGGGAGATTTATGGACACAAGTAAAGAATCTTTGTATTTGAAGTTAAACGTCTGAGAACAGACACATGAATTTAGCACTATCTGATTGACCATTATAGGCACTATGATATACGCCAATCCTTCCAGAATCTGAGATATGTGTTCAGCCTATTGGATATGGTGTTTACTGCTTTTAGCCTTGACGTACAGATGTTCTGCCTACGACTACTCATTCGGATTGTTTGCCTTAGGATTTTCTATAGTATTTTGTAATATTAAAAAACTTAATGTGAAATAGAGAGTGAGAGAGAGTGTGTTATAATTGATCAAGTTCGATACTCAGTTAAAATCTCTGTTTAAATATTGAATATAAGCTTAATTAGAACGAACCAAAGTAAATCATTATGTACTGTCTTATTGTATATTTATTATGACGTGTTTGCTTTTCGGATTCAGCACAGCCGAGTTCTAGCAGTTCTCTGCATCAGATTGAATCACGAAATTTATGAAGAATTAATATACATAGTAATGCAACAGCATGCCATTGTTTGATGTAACATCTTAGAAATTTATATGAGATATATTTGTAGACGTTTCTGGTTGATACTGACTCCAAACATAAGGATATGTTTTTTTTAATGTAATCACAATATAATATATATATTTTTAAGTTATATTCATTAGAAAACAGTTTTTTTATTGCAACTTGACATTCCACTATTTTTAGAAATTTTTTAAAGAGTTGTGCAGGTGGTATCCTAACATTTCTCATTGAATAATATGTCATCCGGATAATATGATCATAAAAGTATAGTCTAAGATAATATACTTGCAGGCCATGAAAATTTATAACTGTGTTAAGAGGAAGGAGATGCAGCGAGAGGCCAAGATGAATGGTTGGTGGAGCAAGTAAAGCTGAGTTGTTTTTTGACGTCGCATTATATGGGTGCTTGAATTGCTTTTGACCTTTAGATTACCGCATAAAAGGGAATATTAGCCTTTTTATATATTGTTTTAAAATTGATAATCAAGCCGTTGTGAAATCGGAATGAAGTTTTTGCTTCAGGACTTGCTTAAACATGATTCGTCCTGGGGGAATACCAGCAGTATCAAGTCTCCTGTGATCTTAATAACCGCAATAAGTGGCTCCATTGTTACGGAAATAAGCTCGTGCATCTGATAAAAAGAAATGGATTATCTATACGTTGAAACAACGATTAGCAGTTTCAGGTAGACGATAATATTAATATATACAGTACAAGCATTACAAGAAATAAAATAGGCTTTAGACATGGTGATCGTTATCGCACATCAAACTGGAACTCAACTGAGTAAGAGTTCCATGGCCATCTCTATTAGCAGCCTCCTTTGATACCCTGAAACTACCAGTCGAGTAAGAAATCCAATGTAACCCTTATTAGAGGTTGAGATAAATCCAATTCATAATCTCTTGAGTAATACATTTGAAAGTTTTAATTGACTACTCGACTATCCAGTGATGATTATGACAATATTATAATTGCTAAAGGATTGTCATTAATTTGTTCTGGACAGGGTAAACTGTAAGGACGGCCACCAAAGAAGATAAACTGTAAAAGGACGGCCACAAAATGAAGATACTAATACTAAATTCACTTCGATTCCATTAAAGAATTATATAAAAAAACTCGTACGGAAGATAGGGCATCCACCAATGTAAATAATAAAGAAACTTTGCAACTGTCACCAAGCAAAATGCCACTAGGAATATATACGAAAGAAAAGAATATATATGAACTCATCATCTCTTCTCGATTGGCAATACTAGACGGACGGTTGCTAAA